AGAGATTGATCATTGCTTCGTGTCAGGATCGTGTTGAACTTTAGGCAAAACATAAATTTTATATGCATTTTTAAAGTAAGGCGTTATAGACTATTATATGTTAATTATAAAAATGTTGTACCTATTTTAAATAAAAATAGGCAATAGCATATATTTTTGAAGGGTCTCAGACCACTCTATCTTGACTGTCTGAACCAGATTAAAAATGCAGCATAATCTTTTGCTTTTATGTCTGTCTTTATCACAACAGCACGTGTGCCTGTGTGGAATACTATGGGAAGGCTTTGGAATCCTTAATTAAACAAGTGAAAATAATGAGCATTCATGGGAAAATGAAACACAAGCGTAACAAGATTTTTACTGAGTTTCGGAAGCTCCCAGGGTGAGAACACATGAACGGGTCAAACCAGCCAAAAGTAAAAGCAGTAAGGGGGGGGTGATTTTGTCTGACAATAGTCTTCAGCCACTGAAGTGTGAAGAATGGTGTGCTGAGGAGAAGGACGCTGCTAACTGGTTCTGAATGTATGTATAACAACACAAACTATGCTTAGGTACTCAAAGTATGATCACAAACAAAGTGAAAATGTGACTGGAGCATGTCCAGCCTCATTTAGGTAATCCATGTGGCAGCGTGGAAGGTGCAGGGATGTGGATTTAGGATAAGCTGCAGCCCGGGACCCTTTAAAGTTTGCGGTGCTTGCTGGCCAAACATGCGAAGCCCATCATTGCTGCTGGTACTGGTGCTGCTGTTTTAACTGGGCACACTGTGCTGTCGCATGCTACATTAGCCTTGCTGTTCAAACATGTCATCGATAGGGAACTGGTAGTGGAAGTAACATTTTCCTGATTGGTAACCAGAGTGGAAACCCAGGATACTCTTTTGTTAGTATATGAACACGAATATGGCAACACGATGCTGTAATTTACTTGTATTCCTTGTCAGCTAGGCAGGGTGTTAAGAAACTCTCGCTGTGGTAGCTGCCGTGTTTTTTACTGCATGGGACCTGAGTTTTGGTATTTTATATTATAAGAAAAATAACTACCAACAGACTGGGAGAACAACTGTTTAAAACAGCATGGTAAAACTGACAGTCTCTTAAGTCTTTTATTAAAACATTTATGGTATTGTGTTCAGCTGTGGTGGATGGGCAGGTGATTTAAAAATAGAACTTGTGATAGGGAATCAATTTTTTTTTTCCTAGTGATGTAAATTACATTCTTTTTCATAACGTTATGTAGAATTTTGGCTGGTGAAAGCTGCAACTACTTTATAATATTTTGTCTCTCTTCAAAAAAACAAATGTTTTAAAGTGTTTTATTCCTCATTCTCTGATGTAGATGCAGAATACATAGCTAGGGGGAGACTGGCTCTTCTCAAATGACAGCTTAATGAAAATACGCTTTTTCTTCTTCCTAGTGGCATTTTAGTTTGCACCGATGTGATGGCCCGTGGCATCGACATTCCAGAAGTACACTGGGTTGTGCAGTATGACCCACCTAGCAGTGCAAGGTACACTTCAGATCTCGAGAACCTTTACTCTACTTGTGGTCACGTTACTGTACTATTCAGATATAGGTTGGGAACACACAACTGCGGAAAACACATTTAATCGCTGCCTGGAAGTTAGTCTGAGTGAATACATAATAATGCATGAACAAGGGAGGCTGAAACACTGCGGGTTTTGTTGTAACTTCTGTGATTTGAAATGACTTTGCCTTGGGTGTAAGTCAAATGGGTGGTTGCCGCTTACATTTCTGTGAAGAGGCACTCTGGTGTAAGGCTTAGGATGAGAATATCAAAGAAAGAACAAGAGGTGAGCTGCTAGGGTGAGTGAGAACAGAGATGAGGGCAGAGACAGGGCTCTTTAAGAAATAGTACATTGAAAGCTCACATGAATGGTGCTTTTCCATGTATTTTAATTCCATTGTCATAATTCTCCCAGCAACTTGCTTGAACTTTGCCCCCAAAACAGATACCCCTTGCTTTATCCTACAGCCCTAACAAGTGAGTGGGACTGCTACACGTCTCGTGTATTGCATTTTACTGATTCCTGTTGGTTTAGTTACAAAGTATATAGCACTCTCTATTATCTGTTCCACAAATTTGCCCTTTTGCTGCCTGACGCTTCAAAATCCGGCTGAGCATCTCCTGTTAAGTTATCTCTGTGTCATGGTGGGGTTTCAGTGCCTTCGTGCATCGGTGCGGGCGAACGGCGCGGATCGGCAACGTGGGCAGTGCGCTTGTGTTTTTGCTTCCCATGGAAGAATCTTACGTTAACTTCCTCTCAATCAACCAAAAGGTTAGTAGGCTTTTATTCTACCCCAAAGCAGGGAAGAGCAAGGGGACAGGCTTACTGAGTTTTGAAATCAGAATTTGTGGGATTTTAAGGTCATATGCCTAGGTAATGTTTTAGCACAATTAAAAAAAGCCAAGAGCTGCTTATTAATCACCAGATGCAGCCATCTGTTAGAACACGATTGCTGCCAGTGTTATCTGCTGAGTTTGTAATAGGAACACGTGTTGCACTGGGTAAGGAAAGGCTTTTCATTTCTGAGGGTGTGTAGATGGAGCGTTTCCAGGCGGGCAGCGCTGGCTTACCCTCCTACCCCTGCCACCCCCAGTCTGTCCGCTGCACCCTCGGTGCTGTTTGTCTGTAACTCTTGGTAATTCCCCATCCCTGGTCCTGCATTTGTGGGACCGATTGTGTAAATTCTGTAGAGCCCTGCTAACGAGAACGTACCTTGATGAGGCACGAGGTGAAGTTGTTGCCTTTCACAACTGCGGTGTGGGAACTCTCCTGCTGGGCGGAATGGTGAACTGGAGCGCTGAGCTGACCAAGTAGAAGGGGGAAAGGGGCTCAAAGCTGACTGAAGATTAACTGGGGAAGAAGTGTGCGTTTGAAGTTTCACAGTGCTGCTTAAATCATTCAGCTGAACTTTTCCTTTGGTTTTGTTTGTTTTTTTTTTTTTTTCTGGTTTTCAGTGTCCCATGCAGGAAATGAAACCACAGACAAATGTGGTAGATCTTCTTCCAAAACTGCAATCTATGGCCCTAGCTGACAGGGCAGTGTTCGAGAAAGGGATGAAAGCATTCGTGTCTTATGTCCAGGCTTATGCCAAACACGAATGTAATCTCATCTTCCGAATAAAAGGTAATTCCCCACAGGGGCTGGTATCTTTTACTGTTCTTCTCGGGAAAGTGGTGCTTCGTTTGGGAAGCAGCACAGTGTTATTGTCCGCAAGCTTCAGCTACTGATTCCTGATCTCACATTTACTTTCTGCAGCATCAGATTCTGACAAAACTCCTGTTTTTTTCAAGCAACGTGTTACTCATTGTTTTCAAGAGAAAACATTTAATTGCCGAGTCTGACCAAACTAACATAAGCATAAACAAAAGTGACATAGTAGTGTTACTAGTATTAAGCATAGAATGCAAGCAGCAATACAGTAAGATAATGGGTTTTTTTCCTGTGACTTGATAAGTTAACTTTTTATCCAGCAGGAAACTGACTTCAAAATCTTTATTTTAACAGATCTGGATTTTGCTAGCCTTGCCAAAGGTTTTGCATTGTTAAAAATGCCAAAGATGCCTGAACTAAGAGGAAAATGTTTTCCAGACTTTACTCCAGTCACTGTTAATACAGACTCCATTTCATTTAAGGATAAAAATAGAGAAAAACAGAGACAAAAGCAACTAGAACAACAAAGAAAAGAAAGACAGGAAAATGGAGGGAAAAAGAAATTCACAAAGAACAAAGCCTGGTCAAAGCAGAAAGCCAAGAGGGAGAAGAAAAAGAAAATAACAGCTAAAAGGAAGCGTGAAGAGGTAAACTTGCCCATTCCATTGAGCTACATGTGATTTCTGGAGCATAGGTATGCCCTTTCGAATGGCAGAGCCATGGGCTTTTAGTGTGACAGAATTGGCAACCATAAAATAACTTTTTAGGACCTTGACAGGCAAAGCTTAAAAAAAATATAGAGAAACTTTTTAAAGCCAAACACTAAAAAAACTTCTCGGTACTCTGATGCTAGTCAGTAATGCTGCCAGCATACGTAGCATAGATTTTTTTTATTCCTGAGGTCCAGCAGTATGGCGTGATGGTGGACAGTACTTGATAGTTTCCTAGGTACAAATTGAGTATCACGTCCTGCTGGGATCCTCCTTGCAAAATCTCGTTTGTAAACTTCTCTCATGTTCAGCTCTATAGAAGAAAAACCTTTTGTTTTGGTGTTGTGTTTAATTGGTTGTTTTTACTACCAACAGGGCTCTGATATTGAAGATGAGGATATGGAAGAGTTGCTGAATGACACAAGACTCTTGAAAAGATTAAAAAAGGGAAAAATTAGTGAAGAAGAGTTTGAGAAGAGACTAACAGGCAGCCAGAATAGACTTAAAGTAGAAACTGTTGCTGACTTAGAGTCTGAAGGCTGATGGTTATTCTAATGCCCCTTTTACATTAAAATACTGCCTATTTCAATAAAACTGTATTTTTGTAAGAAAATAAGGATGCAGAGAACCGTATTGAACTAATTTCTTCATAAAGACATCTGGTGTCCCTAAAGACATACAAACAAGCCTGCAGTTAAGAACAAAGCTGGAAGCACCGCTCTTGTATGGCGTGGCAGGAGCTGCGGATTTCCATTTGCAGCCTTGTGCATGTTTTCATTGTGTTGTTTGCAGGTACGTGCCCCAGATCAGTAAGTAAAGGCATACCTCAGGCTGAGTTTGAATACACCATAAGGTATTTTATTGTACAATATCAAAATACTCCACCCATCTTTAAAATAATTTATTTTAGGTCTTTAGAAGCTGTAGTAATTCTTGGTTTGTTTTTTTTAACGGTGGTCCATCCGCATGTAATGTTTTGCTTTAAAAACTCAAGGCGGCTGATAATTACATCTTTAATCCTTATCATGTTGTCTCCTCACCATGTCCATGTAACTTGTATCATCTTCCAACTGTGATAGTCACTGAAGAAGATGATACACCGAGTCCTCTGTTACAGATAGAGTTTAATAAGTTCATCACTGACAGCTGACGGAGTTAACACCCCAAGGTCTGTAAACAGTAACGTAATTAGCGATGGTGATGTGTAGTCAATCCAGGGATGCTCCTCTGTTAGATTCTGACTTGTTTTCAGAGTGTCTGCTTTGTACTAGAAGGAGAAGGAGAGCATTACTTCTTATGCAACCGCAAGTTAAAAACCTCTTTTGGGCAAGAGCGGTACTATAGTCTTGAGCAGATGTTTGTGGTAAAACTGAAGGAAGTCAATGGCTTTAAAATGAGGCATGGGCTGGTGCAGCCTTGGTCTCAGCTGTTTTATCTTGTGATAAAGTACAATTTGTAGTCCTGAAGTGTATTGATTTAACTGTTCCTTGCCCTCAGCTGCTCCTGCGCCCCAAACGAACAGCTTTAGGAACGAAATGTTAGTATTAAGACAAGTTATGGCTGTTTGGCATGTCACTGTAACATGGAGCAACTCCGTATTATGTCAAGTAAGCTATAGTAGAGAGACAGATCAATGAAGACATACTTTGACAAAAATTTTTCACAGACATTTAAGTGTGCAGCTTAGCTGGCTAAGAAGTAATTTGAATTTCTCTTACCTTAAACTTATCTGGGACGTCCTGCTGATTCAGAGGGAAAAGTCTTACAAACTTGAAACTTTCTGCTACCACATAAAATGGCTTATTCTGAGCTTTGGCACACACAGCGATTTGATTAGTGCCAATCTGTGGAGACAGATGGAAAACAACATGCAGACTCAGTGCTAGTGTGACATAATGCCCAGTTTCCAACAATAAATAGATATTTACCGGGTAACGTCCAAATAGAAAAGATTTTTCGGAAAGTCTCGAATTCTTCAAAGAAACCAAACTTTAAAAGACTAGAGTTTACAGAATGATGTCATAAACTCAGTCCCTATTACCTTGTTAATAATGCCTCCGCTTTCAACTACACCTTCAGCACCAACTAACACCAGGTCCACTTTCTCCATAATGTAGCTGTTTAAAGGGGGGAAAAAAAATCCAAGTCTTACTGGGTAATATGACAAATGACTTGCTGAACAGAACAGAAATTAGTAATTCAAACAGTCTTTCACTTCTCTGAACTAGTTTCCTCTACCTGTGTAAGTCCATGTGCTGTTACACATCCTTGGAGTGAGCTTTCATCTACTTCCCTGGCAGGAATATTAAATAACTGTTATTTTCAGCCATAGCTGACCTCGGCAAGTGTGTAAATGCTGAAAGAAGTGGAAATGTGACTAGGAATGATACTCAGTTAGAGGAACATGGTGCCTGTGGTAAGATGCTGTAACTACACAGTGAAGTGTAACTGCACTGTGATAACCGTGGCCGAACCGATACACAGGATGCTCCTCATCTAACCCCCTTTCTTTACATCCCTCCAGTATGTTTTGTTAATTGAAAGTATGGATCTAAAAAGAAAACCATCAACTAAGTGATTTGAATAGACTGAAGGTGTTAAACAGAACTTGTAGACTTGTCCGCTCAAGCCACTGTCTTCCCTAGATAGAGGTGTCTTGGTAAGCAGACTGGTGCGTATTGGAGGCAGTCTCTTGGGCATTTTGCACTTGCACAAGAATTGAGGTTCAGATGTATTGCAATTCTTTATTTTCTCATGTCTTGGACTTACACTAAGCAGTGGTAATTTAGCAAATAGCTTAAGAAACCCCCAAATGATAACATATACGTAAATTAGGAAAAAGTAGCCTTTTTGTGTAGCACCTCAGTTCTTTTTTACAGATATCCCCAAGTTCTATGCTTGGGTCTGACTCCTTTTTTTATTCTAACGTGCATATGTCAAATACTTGTTTTGTAGCAGGCATGCTCTCCTGATCCTGCACCTAAAGGTGTAACTTGTTCAGCTTGTTGGATGGCTATGACTAAGTAACAACTTCTGTAGTTTGAACAAGCTTCTAGGAAACTTACATACAACACTATCAAAATAAAATTGTGATGAACCATATTAAGCTTTAATGATCCGACTTACCCAACTGCAGCATCTAGAATCACAGTCACAGGAATGTTCAGCTTCTTCAGGGCTTTTGCCATTTTTTGCCTATTAAAACAAACATGTTTGAAGCTTAAAAGACTTTTCTTTAAAGACGATGCTAGAAAAATATTGCCCAAGAGACTGAAACCCATGACTGCCCCTGTTCCCTGGCCTGTAGTTTTGCTGATGATGTACCCACTAATAGAAAAAAAAGTTCTTATGTAGAAATTGAAACAAACAGATTACAACAAACCCAACTAAGTCAAGTCAGTTTGTTTTTAGCAGTCAGGAATTACAGCCGCAGAAAGATGAGTCAGTGAACTATTATTAAGATGACAGATTACCTAAACCGTCTCAGCTTTTCCATCAACAGGGTGTAAGAAACAAGAAATAAAGCATGGGGTGCGTTGCTAGAAGTTAGTTCAGTGAAGCTGGAAAATCGTACACACTTGACTGAACATCCTTGATTCTAGTGAAAGGCTCGTTAGCAACACACTATCCAGTATGTACGATTTATTACTTCCCTTACACAACAGTGTATGCTCTGAAGAGGGAGACCTTACTTTGCATCATCAAAAAACATGGTTAGCTAAATGTTTTTCCTTGCTATGCTTAAGATAATACTGATTATTTTAGCTACTTTTGTGGCAGACAACTAGAAATCAGTTGTCTCCCATCTCCCAAGGGAAAAGTAGGTTGCCTGGTGCTGACTGAAAGTTTGTAGACATTTGAGGAAAACCTAGATAACACTGTAATTAGAATATTTGGTATGGGAAAATACTTGCCAATACTGGTTTTTTTTTTCATTTATCCAGAATAATGTAATATTACTAGTGATGGTTACGACTTAAAATGCTGCAAACAAGCCTAGCAGCTTTTCTTAAGGTATGACAGATTTGATGCTGGCTGTAACTTACCCTGATAACCAAGACAAAACAGAAATTATTGAGTACTTGCCCTGCTTGGTCTGGCTGTGATTCAGTAACATAAACGCTGAATCGCTTCTTTGACTCAACAGCTGCTTCTAACACTCTGAGGACCACTCTTGAGTAGGCATGTGTCAGTATTCGCTGTCAAAAAAAATAATAATCAGTACTTTTTGCTGAGCTTTGGGAAACCTTTACTTTTGTTAATGGTGTCATGGCTTTTATGTCACACAACCGTCCATCAGCATTAAATAATAACATATGTCACTTGTATTCTACAGATCACAGGATAGCAAACCCCTCTGTGAGCCAGCCCTGATGCAGCCCAGGGGTGATGGTCTAGTATTTTAAATGAAAACAAAGCTGTGAGTCCTCAGCATCTCTTAGAAGTAGAGCGCAAGTTAAAGCTGGATTGCATGGAAACTGAAGGAGGGGAGGATAAGTCGTAACAAAATAAAGCGAAGGGCGATGTTATGCCTATGTGCTTGCAGAAGCCACCATCACACAATGCTGATGTGACTGTTCATAAACTTCACTCCCTCCCCTGCTGTTTTTCCGTGACTGCAAGCAGCCAAGCAAGAGAACAAGAGTGGCCCTGCCTCGGCCTACTTACAGCACCATCTCTGATGAAAGGATGACACAGCTTGGCGATTTTGTTCCGAGAGAGAGAGACTTTCCTCAGGAAGATCTCCCCGCGCTCGATCATGATTTCTTTGCACTTGGAGTAGTCCTGGAAAAAACAGCGATGTCTGCTGTGAGGTGGGAGGGTCCCCCCAGCAGGCAGCGTGGCTGAGCGGGGGGCGGCCGCCCTTACCGAGTACTCCAGGGAGGTGAGGCTGATGAAGCGCAGGAAGAGCTCCCCGCCGGAGGAGACGGCCACCGAGGAGTCCACCCGAGACAGCGTGTCGATGGCGGCCCGCAGGCTGCTCCTCAGGCCCTGGATGGTCTCCCCTGCGGGGAGGCAGAGGTGCACGGTCAGGGCCTCACTCACACGGGCCTCGCCATGGGGAGACCCGGCGCAGAGCGGGGACCCCGTCCTGCCCGGGGCTTGCGGGGGGACCTGGGCCCACCTCGGTCCTGCTTGAGGAAGCCCAGCAGAGCGCGGATGGCGGCCACGGCCGAGGCGACGTCGGGGTCGTCCCTCAGCT